TTGCCAAACCATTTTTTTTTGTATTTGGATTTCAAAAAATGATGCACATGTATGATATGTAAACAAAATTGATACCTGGTCTCAAAGTGTTTGGGAGCCTCGGTGGTCGAATGGTTTAAGTAGTTCAAACCACTATTTCGCTAGCCTGTCAACACTGAAGTTGTCAGTTCCGAGTCCAGCACGTGACAGGTGTGTTCGAATCCAAACTTAATGGACTAAGATTTTCCTTTTTCCAGGCGTAGGTCTGCAGTACTCTCCGAGCACTCCACTCCGTCTTCCTCCATAAATTGTCTGCCACCAAATAACCAATAGCACTGATGGTTATTTCATTTCATCTAGTGAGTGTTCTACTACTAATCTATGAGTGCTTCTGATAACCTCCCTTACTACTATCAAAGAACTTGTTATTAACTTTTGTAATAAAGACTATGAAAAATATGGTATTAATCATTTTTGGAGTGTTAAAAATTCTTTAGAGGTTTTAGATAATAATACGTGCTTTTGATGGCCCCTCTAAGTCTGTCGATAGTAATGATTTTTCTTCTCTCTACGCTACATTTCCACACAATCTAATCCAGAGAAAGTTTCCATATTCAATTAAATGGTCTTTTGAAAAATATCTTTGTAAATTTATTTGCTGTTACTCATTTAAAGCCTTTTTCTGAAACGAAAAAGGAAAGTATGCAAGAAACACTTACTGGAAATGCGAAGATATGATTGAAACTTTAAATTTTATGTATGTAAGATTCGGCGATAAAGTGTATTGACAGGTAGTTGGTATTTCTATAGGCACTAAAAGCGCCCTTTAATAGCAGGTATGAATCTAAGTTTAACACCCAAGTCAGTAAAGACAAGTCATTGTTACATTTGGTTGACACATTCAACAAAGAGAGCCGTGGTGTAATGGTAAGTGCATAAGACTACTAACACAAAGGTTCCTGGTTCGATCCCCGCTCCGGGGAGAAAATTTCAGAGACTGAATTTTCGGCTCTCCCTTGACACCATTTGCGAGTATGGTCTTGAGATATGAGGATAGTCCGACGGACGGGGAAGATGAATGGCTGGCCCGTGTTACGAGAGAGCCATATATTTTGCACGTAAAAGACACCTTTGTAGATTTCAAATAAGAGCAGGCTAATGCCGCTACATGGCACCACTCGCAACCGCAAAGTGGAAAGCGATTCATATTAGTTGCAATAACTTGTTTCCTAATCCATTGACATACTTAACAACCAGGAGACATCTTTTCTATGGAGCATACCTAAATGACATGGCAATCCATTGACATACTTAACAACCAGAAGACATCTTTTCTATGGAGTATACCACAATGACACGGCAATCCATTGACATACTTAACAACCAGAAGACATCTTTTCTATGGATTATACCTAAATGACATGGCAATCCATTGACATACTTAACAACCAGAAGACATCTTTTCTATGGAGTATACCACAATGACACGGCAATCCATTGACATACTTAACAACCAGAAGACATCTTTTCTATATATATGGAGTATACCACAATGTCAAGGCAATCCACTGACATACTTAACAACCAGAAGACATCTTTTCTATGGAGTATACCACAATGACACGGCAATCCATTGACATACTTAACAACCAGAAGACATCTTTTCTATGGAGTATACCACAATGACACGGCAATCCATTGACATACTTAACAACCAGAAGACATCTTTTCTATGGCGTATACCACAATGACACCGCAATCCATTTAAGTACTCAACAACCAGAAGACATCTTTTCCAAGGAGTATACCACAATGACACGGCAATCCATTGACATACTTAACAACCAGAAGACATCTTTTCTATGCAGTATACCACAATGACACAGCAATCCATTGACATACTTAACAACCAGAAGACATCTTTTCTATGCAGTATACCTAAATGACACGGCAATCCATTGACATACTTAACAATCAGAAGACATCTTTTCTATGAAGTATACCACAATGACACGGCAATCCATTGACATACTTAACAACCTGAAGACATCTTTTCTATGGAGTATACCTAAATGACACGGCAATCCATTGACATAATTAACAACCAGAAGACATCTTTTCTATGGAGTATACCACAATGACACGGCAATCCATTGACATACTTAACAACCTGAAGACATCTTTTCTATGGAGTATACAACAATGACACGGCAATCCATTGACATACTTAACAACCAGAAGACATCTATTCTATGGAGTATACCTCAATGACACGGCAATCCATTGACATACTTAACAACCAGAAGACATCTTTTCTATGGAGTATACCACAATGTCAAGGCAATCCATTGACATACTTAACAACCAGAAGACATCTTTTCCAAGGAGTATACCTCAATGACACGGCAATCCATTGACATACTTAACAACCAGAAGACATCTTTTCTATGGAGTATACCACAATGACACAGCAATCCATTGACATACTTAACAACCAGAAGACATCTTTTCTATGGAGTATACCACAATGGCAAGGCAATCCATTGACATACTTAACAACCAGAAGACATCTTTTCTATGAAGTATACCTCAATGACACGGCAATTCATTGACATACTTAACAACCAGAAGACATCTTTTCTATGGAGTATACCACAATGACACCGCAATCCACTGACATACTTAACAACCAGAAGACATCTTTTCTATGGAGTATACCTCAATGACACGGCAATCCATTGACATACTTAACAACCATAAGACATCTTTTCTATGAAGTATACCACAATGACACGGCAATCCATTGACATACTAACAACCAGAAGACATCTTTTCTATGGAGTATACCACAATGACACGGCAATCCATTGACATACTTAACAACCAGAAGACATCTTTTCTATGGCGTATACCACAATGACACCGCAATCCATTTAAGTACTCAACAACCAGAAGACATCTTTTCCAAGGAGTATACCACAATGACACGGCAATCCATTTAAGTACTTAACAACCAGAAGACATCTTTTCTATGGAGTATATCACAATGACAGGGCAGTCCATTGACATACTTAACAACCATGAGACATCTTTTCTATGGAGTATACCTAAATGACACGGCAATCCATTGACATACTAACAACCAGAAGACATCTTTTCTATGGAGTATACCACAATGACACGGCAATCCATTGACATACTTAACAACCAGAAGACATCTTTTCTATGGCGTATACCACAATGACACCGCAATCCATTTAAGTACTCAACAACCAGAAGACATCTTTTCCAAGGAGTATACCACAATGACACGGCAATCCATTTAAGTACTAAACAACCAGAAGACATCTTTTCTATGGAGTATATCACAATGACAGGGCAATCCATTGACATACTTAACAACCATGAGACATCTTTTCTATGGAGTATACCACAATGACACGGCAATCCATTGACATACTAACAACCAGAAGACATCTTTTCTATGGAGTATACCACAATGTCAAGGCAATCCATTGACATACTTAACAACCAGAAGACATCTTTTCTATGGAGTATACCACAATGACAAGGCAATCCATTGACATACTTAACAACCAGAAGACATCTTTTCTATGGCGTATACCACAATGACACCGCAATCCATTTAAGTACTCAACAACCAGAAGACATCTTTTCCAAGGAGTATACCACAATGACACGGCAATCCATTTAAGTACTCAACAACCAGAAGACATCTTTTCTATGGAGTATACCACAATGACACGGCAATCCATTGACATACTTAACAACCAGAAGACATCTTTTCTATGGAGTATACCACAATGTCAAGGCAATCCATTGACATACTTAACAACCAGAAGACATCTTTTCTATGGAGTATACCACAATGTCAAGGCAATCCATTGACATACTAACAACCAGAAGACATCTTATCTATGGAGTATACCACAATGTCAAGGCAATCCATTGACATACTTAACAACCAGAAGACATCTTTTCTATGGAGTATACCACAATGTCAAGGCAATCCATTGACATACTTAACAACCAGAAGACATCTTTTCTATGGAGTATACCACAATGACACGGCAATCCATTGACATACTTAACAACCAGAAGACATCTTTTCTATGGAGTATACCACAATGACACGGCAATCCATTTAAGTACTCAACAACCAGAAGACATCTTTTCTATGGAGTATACCACAATGTCAAGGCAATCCATTGACATACTTAACAACCAGAAGACATCTTTTCTATGGAGTATACCTCAATGACACGGCAATCCATTGACATACTTAACAACCAGAAGACATCTTTTCTATGGAGTATACCACAATGACACAGCAATCCATTGACATACTTAACAACCAGAAGACATCTTTTCTATGGAGTATACCACAATGACACGGCAATCCATTGACATACTTAACAACCAGAAGACATCTTTTCTATGGAGTATACCTCAATGACACGGCAATCCATTGACATACTTAACAACCAGAAGACATCTTTTCTATGGAGTATACCTCAATGACACGGCAATCCATTGACATACTTAACAACCAGAAGACATCTTTTCTATGGAGTATACCACAATGACACAGTAATCCATTGACATACTTAACAACCAGAAGACATCTTTTCTATGGAGTATACCACAATGACACGGCAATCCATTGACATACTTAACAACCAGAAGACATCTTTTCTATGGAGTATACCTCAATGACACGCCAATCCATTGACATACTTAACAACCAGAAGACATCTTTTCCAAGGAGTATACCACAATGACACGGCAATCCATTGACATACTTAACAACCAGAAGACATCTTTTCTATGGAGTATACCACAATGTCAAGGCAATACATTGACATACTTAACAACCAGAAGACATCTTTTCCAAGGAGTATACCACGATGACACGGCAATCCATTAACATACTGAACAACCAGAAGACATCTTTTCTATAACTTTTAAACACACTGTTTTGTGTTTATCATAAAAGAAAGTAAATTTCATCTGTTTTATTTTGTATTTTTCTACTATACATTTGTTCATATTATAAATAAATAATTATCTATGAGATATCTACAATTAAGAACTATATTTTGTTGATGTTATACCGATTCAAGGCTTTTTCAATACACATAAGATAAATTAATTCAAGAAAATGTTTACATCAACACAAATCTAAAAACTGAATGATAATTATTATTCAAATAACTGATAGGGGAGACAACCCAAAAGAGGAATACATTAGTTCCTGAATAGAGAGCTCAATCGAATCACTTGATCAGAAATGATTTTCTAAAAATGTAAATGTTCATTTTAACTTAATGTTAAATATTGCACTGTTAAAACTCATCATTTTTTATATTGTTTATATTTGTAATAATAAAAAAAATATATTGCAATGAAAAAAATATAAATTGGACATTGAAAAAATGTATATAAATATACCATTCTTATATATAAAAGTTTACAGCTGAATCACAACTACTTTCATTATGGTTTGATTCAGAGTAAGAATAAGTTGTTTATGCCACAAGAGATACTAAACTATGTTGTAACATCCAATATTCACTGCTTTCATTATCAATGTATTTTTTATTAAAAGAATTCCTTGTTTTACAAAAGGTTCACGTAACCCCCCTTTTTCATTTCATTTTGAAAAATGATTGATTGATTGATTGATTGATTGATTGATGTCTGCATAATGTTTCATTGCCCCTGAAATCTATACAAATCCTAAGGTCAAAATATTAGTCTGAGGAAAACAGCTGGTATAATCTCTAACCAAGTTAATACCCATATCAGACTAGAATAGTGGAACAACACACAGATAAATAGGAATAAAAGGAGGTGTATGGTATACTTTATTAAGGCAGCAATCCAACAACAAAACCATAATCATGATTAAAAGAGATGTAAGTTTAGAAACAAAATCCCTACAGCACAAAAAACAAGAACTCTTAGATACCACACTGACCATGATTTATTTCAGATCTAAGAATTGGTCAAAGGGAGATAATCGGAAGTTTAAATATCAGGAAAAGCTGAACAGTCAGTTGTTGTTTGATTGCTGTGTAATTAATGGGACCATAGAGTATTTTCTTCATACAAAATAATAAACGAAGTAACAAAATAAAATAAGATCTTTTTAATTGAAAAATGAGTTTTGATTTCCCTATTTTAAAAGAAATGAAGATTTGACTGCAATCAAACCTCACAAATTAACAAAATTTAGTTTTTAAAAAGAGTAAATAAAAGGGTGTTTAAATAATAAATTAATAAAAACACAAAATTACAAATGTACTTAAAATATATGTTAATATTAGAGAGTAATTTAAAATTTATCTACAATGATTTTTCGTATACCAGTAAAAAACTTTATGTTATTAGTATCTACAAATGTTTGTTACTGCAGAAATATGACACTGTGTGGGAAAAAATGACTCACAATAATTGATGTTTGCAACTATTATAAACCAAATAATCTTTCTGTACATTAAAATGATTCTTTTTGTTACAGACTTATTTAGAAATATAATCCTAATCCTTTACTAGGATGATAAGTTAATGGCCTCTCAGTCTCTACAACAGAGTTTTACAGAGCTAGGGACAGTCACGAACTTGCCTCAAATGATAGGTTAACGGCCTCTCAGACTCTACAACAGAGTTTTACATAGGTAGGGACAGTCTTCTTGCTTAACCACAGGCCAAGCTGTAAAATTGCTATCAGGCCTGTAAAAATTATCTCTACAGGCCAACTGAATCTAACTAAAATTTTTAACAAATTGATTTCTACAGATTTATAAGTTTATCGTGAAGACTGCAGGGGATACTACATGCATTGTTTGGTTTTGTTCTGTCAATCTTTAAATTAATTCTCCCAGTAACCTGTCAAAAGGTGTAACCTTATGGTGCAACTTAAAAAATCCTTCCAAATACCTTTCTGTCAATAATAAATACAACTGTTATAAACATGATAAACATTTTACAATGGTTTGACTTCTTATGCTAATTCATGCTAATTTAAATATTTTTCTGATTTATTTGCATATTTTCATTAGTTTATATGGAAAATTCGAATATAATCTATCTATAAATAAAGTCACATTAATTTGATATCAGTCCCAAGAGTTTTTGAAGGATAAAAGAAACCATATATTTAATGTCATTCCCGTAGCATTTCTTATGTTAGCCGGTACCTTTGATGAACAATTAAGGCTCTCCTATCCCTAGCATTTCTTATGTAAGCAGGTACCTTTGATGAACAATTTTAAGGCAATACAATGTTAGAGATCAGTACTACAGTTTTCTGTATTAACAGAGGAACCTGATGAATGGCGAGTATGTCCTGGTTTATTTTTCATTTCTTTAAGTGAGCTACTAGAATGTTTTTGTCGTAAATTCCCCAGAGGTGACGACCCGACTTTCTCTTCATTAATTTCCTCTAGGATGGAATTCTTTTTGTTCGTTAGACTCGTCAGCTCTACATTATCTGCACTTGTCCTGGAATTATTCTTTATTACATTAACCTGTACAGAATCTACCGTGTCTCCGTTAGATAACGTCCGTGACACATCACTATCTCGTTTGTGCTCTTTCACTTTAGATTTGTCCATTTTTTTAATTCCCAGTTTAATTTTATCAGCGAGTTTAGGTAATTTGCCAAGAGATTTTGTCGGAGTATCACTATCTTCTTCGATTGTTTCTAGTTTTGACAAATTTTCATCTCCTTCTATGATATCTATGTCATCTGAAAGAGAAATGTTTAACATCAAATATTGTTTGTAATTATTTAGGTCTATTCCATTAGCATGGACGTGGTTTGGTAATAAAAGAACAGAGTTCAAATGTCCCCCGCATTGCACATATTTTATTTATCTGCCCAAGGGCAATATCTTAAAAATTATTTTATTATAAATATCTTGAAAATGAAGGCTTGAGAGCAAATGTGATGCAATTTCCAATATAATTAATGTTTCCAAGGCACATAACTCTTTTAAAAATATTTGGCTGGCACTGATTTTTCGAAATTGTCCACAACATTGCTGATATAAACCTTTTGATATAAATTTGATAAAATCTGGCAAGGATTTTACACATGAGAGCGCTAACAATGCAATTTTCCATATAATTAATATTTCCAAGGGCATAACTCTTTGAAAAATAATTTATTGGTACTGATTTTTTGAACTCACCCAAGAATTTACTGATATAAACCTATAATGTAAGTTTCATAAAAATCTGACAAGAATAGTACATGAGAGAGAGCACTAACAAAACACTTTTATTATTAATATTTCCAAGGGGTATAACTCTTTTAAATATAATTCATTAATCTGCATTGTTTTTTGAACTCATACAAGACATTGCTGATGTAAACCTAAATAAAGATGCATAGGTAATAAGGTAAAATACCCCCACAACCATTTTAATGGAACAGCCTTTAATGTTATTTTATTCCCAAGTTATTTATGTTTGTAACTGAAAAACTTAATTACTGTGAATGGCTTCATACCTAATAAAATAAAACAAGTATCAGAAAAAAAATCTAGGCCCGTATGCATAAAACCACTTAAGTTAAGATATCAAATCATAGTACTAATTTATCGTATGACATGTAGAAAAATCCATCTACTCGGATCAAATCTTAACTACCTTTATGCATACAGGCCCAGAACAAATTTTTTGTCTTAAGGTATTTAGTTCTAAATGTTGCTTTTGCAAAAGTAATTGTAAATCTCATGAATGTGTGGTCTAAGCTTGTTACAGGTTAATAAATCAGTCCCTTATATAGCATATGTAATGACAGATCTGTAGAGTTCTTGATTTGAGAAATATCACATTAAAAATTTAATAAACAGCTGCTCCATGAGTGCATGATATGCCCGTAGCGTTTTCAAAGAATAAAGTTCAATAACTTCTCAATGTCATATCAGAAATTTATAAATAAAAAACTAAAGGGAGCCAAATCAGTCACCAAAGTTAAATGAAAACTGCTCAAAGCACATTAAGGATATTGTCTGAAAACTTGAAAATCACCCCTTTTTTATGAATAAAATCCCATAACTCGGAAACCTAAAATCTAAAATTTATAAAAATCGAAAGGGAGCTCATATCAATAGATATAAACAATTCACCAAAGTAGCATGATAACTGCTCAAAGCATTTTTTGAGTTATTGTCCGAAAACTGGAAAATCCCCCTTTTTTTGAATGAATAAAACCCTAAAACTTGGAAACGTAAAATCAAAAATTTGAAAAAAAACAAAAGGGAGCTCACAGCAATAGATATAAACAATTCACCAAAGTTTCATGAAAACTGCTCAAAGCATTTTTGAGTTATTGTCCGAAAACTGGAAAATCCCCTTTTTTTAATGAATAAAACCCCAAAACTCGGAAACGTAAAATCTTAAAATTTATAAAAAACGAAAGGGAGCTCATAGCAATAGATATAAACAATTCACCAAATTTTTATGCAAATCGGTTAAAGCATTTTTGAGTTAATGTCTGACATGTCCTGACGGATGGATAACGGTATACCATAATACGTCCGGTAAACGGGCTATAAAAATACCAGGTAGGACTTGAGATAAAAGCACTATAGTTGTAAGTTGTTACCAGCAACTGCAGATTGGTGGACTTTTGTTGTGGACTAGATAGATTGGGTTTTGGTTGTAACTTATTTGGTAGGACATGAGATTGGTGGACTTTTGTTGTGGACTAGATAGATTGGGTTTTGGTTGTAACTTATTTGGTAGGACATGAGATTGGTGGACTTTTGTTGTGGACTAGATAGATTGGGTTTTGGTTGTAACTTACTTGGTAGGACATGAGAAAGAAGTCTCTTTAGTCTTATTCTACAACTTTCTTGAGATGATGGCACTATAGTCTTAACTCACGACCTACTTGAGATAGATGGGGTTATAGTCTTAACCTACGACCTCCTTGAGATAAATGGCACTACAATCTTAACTTACCAGGCAGTTTCTTGGTTCTAAATGATGCGTTTGTGATAGCAGATTAGGCAATGGTGACCTGAGATAGATGACGCTACAATCTTAACTTACCAGTCAGTTTCTTGGTTCTAAATGATGCATTTGTAATAGCAGATTAGGCAATGGTGACCTGAGATAGATGGCGCTACAATCTTAACTTACCAGGCTGTTTCTTGGTTCTAAATGATGTGTTAGTAATGGCAGATTATGCAATGGTGTGACCTGAGATAGATGGCGCTATAGTCTTAACTTACCAGGCAGTTTCTTGGTTCTAAATGATGCGTTTGTAATAGCAGATTTGGCGATGGTGTGACCTGAGCTAGACGGGGTGACTGTCATTAGTCCCATTGGACCATCTTCTTCATGACCAGCAGGAAGTGAATTTTTTATGGCATTGGTTACCTAAAATAGATCACTTACAATTATCATATAAAATAAACATATAATTTTGTAAAGACAGCTGTGTGCTGTTGAAGTCTGCATATGCATTTTTAAATGTCTTTGATGTGTCATAAGGTAGTCGTCTCATTAATACTCTCCTTACATATAGATTCTACCACTGCATCAAGTGTGATACAATATTTATCGAAACCACATGTTGATTAGTAAAATTAATCAACAGGTCAGGAAAAGGATAAATTGGATCAGAATTAGAGAAATATTTATTTATCCAAACCATCAAAATCAGATAAATAAATGTGAACAAAGGGAGACAATCCAATCTAAATTACCTTATTTTTCCTGAATAAATATCATAATACAAAATAATAATATTACATATGGTGTATCATTCTACAGTTTTCATTGGGTATTACGATCACATGTTTCAAAGGTTATTGTACGTATCCGTAGCCTTGTTTCTATATTTAGGTATATTGACGCTATATTTCTATTTATATGTATATTGACGGTCAATATAAAAAAATCTTGCTAAATTTAGATTTATGACGTCATACATAACAATTATAGAGGAAGCGCTGCAGCAGACAAAAAGAAAATTTGCAAGTTTATCAGGAGATTTCAAGAATTTTATGTTAAATGCAGACGCTAAGAATACAAGAAAGCTAATGCAACAGGCTATGAAGTTGTTAAAAAAAATATTGATATTTTCAATAACATGTTAAAATTCCTGCAAAATACAATTTTTGAAATACACAGAAAGAACAATGAACGCCATTTTCCTAATACATTATTTACATATGTAATATAGAAATGAAGGACTTTCACTCAGTCAATACGTTATATATGGACCTGTTAGATTATATTGACACTCTGACTTCGTCCTCTAACCTGAACAGGTCCATATATAACGTGTTGACCTCGTCAAAAGTCCATAATTGTAAAAAGTATCAAGAATATTGATTTCTGATCAGGTTTAGATAAATTAACAGAATTAATCTTGAAAAAAAATAAGGAATGTTTAATACTGATTATTTCTATACTAAATCATATGAAAATGAACATTTTATGAGTTTCTCCTCTGAAAGTCCATTCGAATATTTTTCCAGAAGTTAACTGTAAAACTTATGATGTACTTTCAACAATCAATTAATGTAAATTCAGCTATGAAGGTGTTAAATGACCTAGATTACCCAAGAGGTTCTTCCCAGTTCAGTGTCTTTCAGTAGATTCAGAAATTATTGCAATGTTTTTATTTATGCAAAAAATGCATTCATAATTTTAGTATTGATTTTCTATCATAATTTTTTAAATCTCATTAATTAGATTTTGCATTTTTGCCAGTGGTCAAGTATTTGCAATAATAAATACACACATTAATTCCTTAATCTACAGTACATGAAAAATAGAATCTCATTTATAATGAGAGATCCATACTGTTAGACAGATATGACTGGGAGTTCACACATAAAATAATTTACTGAAAACCTTACCATAATTACTTACATCTAATTCAAATAACAAACAGTTTATCAAAAAACTTACCAAAAGTATATCAGGATAGAGTTCATAACTTGCCCTGTTGTGGATGTCTAGAATGGCTCTTGTTGCTAAGTATTTATCACTATTAAACCTACAAAATTAAAAAGAAGTTTTACATTCAGTGTTAATTGATCATCATGATGATGGTGGTTTTGTGTTTAAAACCAAGTGGCAAATATCATATCAGGACCAGAATATGGTATATACATCCTGCTTTGTACTGGACTGTCACACCGATCTGATTTCTAATCTGCTCGGGCCCCCCTTTTGTGGGAAAAATTTGGTTGAAGCATGACTAGAGCCCCCCCCCTGAAAATTTCTGGAACTGCCACTGCAGATCAACCCATGTGTTAACCCATCACCTCCCGCACTCATGGAGACCACAGGTCAACCAAGGGGAATCAGTGATAAAATCATTTCTACTGAGCTTGAAAAGGTTGACCAGTTGGAAAAACTATAATACTTTAAAAAAAAAAATTAACAAACAAAATCGAAACTGTATATATAGCTAAAAATATTTCAAATGAAGTTATACATGGAACAAAATGAAAATTGGGAATGATCCATTAATATCAAAGTTTTGGAGTTTTGACTAATTTTGTGATTTTAATTATCTCCCTTTGACCAACCTAAATAAAACTCTGGAAGTTTAAGAATATTCCATGACCAAAACTTTAATTTTAAATCAATTAAAAGCTTTATTAGATTCAATATCTTAAGATCAAGAATAGCCAAATGCATGGGATAAATAAGAGTCATAGAGTGCATTTCTTTCTAACCAAAGTTTTGTAAACGTTGTGTGGCATTTGTTGTTGTTTTCTAAACGCTACAAAAGTAGAAACAAATACATCGTTAAATCAGTGTTTACTGACCCTGTTTGAACTTCCAATAATGCATGCACATGTTGTTGGTAAACAGACTTTTTGCAAACGTAGAAACAAATACATCGTTTAATCAGGTTGAAGTTAGAAACAAATGTAGCGTTTGTACTAACAAACGATGAACAACAAACTGTAGACGCATTTTTAGCGAGTGCATAGTTTGTCAAAGTTTATGTAAACTTTGCAAACGTATGTTAGAAACAAATGATCAAAACATGTTCCCGCTTAGCCATTTGCATCGTTGTGTTAGAAAGAAATGCACTCATAATAACTTGTGTTGTGTTTAAGCATACAATCTTATTAAACATTGAAGAACATCCCAACCATATATATATATAATCAGACCTTTTTGACCAGCGGCAGTGTAAAGCAACCACAAATCATTTAATCATTTTAAGAGTAACATATACAAGTTGCTAAACGGACATCTTTGATAAAGTTTACTAATGAATGTTTAAGTGAAAGTAATAGCTTACACAATCTTGGAAAAGGAAAGCAAAAAATTAAGAGGAGATACACTCTCTTTCCCCAATACACATACAATCTATATACACTCTCTTTCCCCAATACACATACAATCTACATACACTCTCTTTTCCCAATACACATAGATACACTCTCTTTCCTCAATACACATACAATCTATATACACTCTCTTTCCCCAATACACATACAATCTATATACACTCTCTTTTCCCAATACACATACAATCTATATACACTCTCTTTCCCCAATACACATACAATCTACATACACTCTCTTTCCCCAATACACATACAATCTACATAGACTCTCTTTCCCCAATACACATACAATCTATATACACTCTCTTTCCACAATACACATACAATCTACATACACTCTCTTTCCCCAATACACATACAATCTACATACACCCTCTTTCCCCAATACACATACAATCTACATACACTCTCTTTCCCCAATACACATACAATCTATATACACTCTCTTTCCCCAATACACATACAATCTACATACACTCTCTTTTCCCAATACACATAGATACACTCTCTTTCCTCAATACACATACAATCTATATACACTCTCTTTTCCCAATACACATACAATCTATATACACTCTCTTTTCCCAATACACATACAATCTACATACACTCTCTTTCCCCAATACACATACAATCTACATACACTCTCTTTCCCCAATACACATACAATCTATATACACTCTCTTTCCCCAATACACATACAATCTACATACACTCTCTTTCCCCAATACACATACAATCTATATACACTCTCTTTCCCCAATACACATACAAGCTACATACACTCTCTTTTCCCAATACACATACAATCTACATACACTCTCTTTTCCCAATACACATACAATCTACATACACTCTCTTTCCCCAATACACATACAATCTACATACACTCTCTTTCCCCAATACACATACAATCTACATACACTCTCTTTCCCCAATACACATACAATCTACATACACCCTCTTTCCCCAATACACATACAATCTACATACACTCTCTTTCCCCAATACACATACAATCTATATACACTCTCTTTCCCCAATACACATACAATCTACATACACTCTCTTTTCCCAATACACATAGATACACTCTCCTTCCTCAATACACATACAATCTATATACACTCTCTTTCCCCAATACACATACAATCTATATACACTCTCTTTTCCCAATACACATACAATCTACATACACTCTCTTTCCCCAATACACATACAATCTACATACACTCTCTTTCCCCAATACACATACAATCTATATACACTCTCTTTCCCCAATACACATACAATCTACATACACTCTCTTTCCCCAATACACATACAATCTATATACACTCTCTTTCCCCAATACACATACAATCTACATACACTCTCTTTTCCCAATACACATACAATATACATACACTCTCTTTTCCCAATACACATACAATCTACATACACTCTCTTTCCCCAATACACATACAATCTACATACACTCTCTTTCCCCAATACACATACAATCTACATACACTCTCTTTCCCCAATACACATACAATCTACATACACTCTCTTTCCCCAATACACATACAATCTATATACACTCTCTTTCCCCAATACACATACAATCTACATGTGTTTTGGTTGTTTGTGTCATTAGGTTTCTGTCTCACTGATGTATAGCCCACCTATTCTTTTATCAATGAACAAGACCTACATAATATGAACGTATGCAAGTGCACGTATACATGTTCATTTATAAGACTTTGATTAATTTTGGAAAATTCAAATACGAAATAAAAGATGAATTTTGGTCTATTTTATTGGGTTCCTGTATCGACTCAATTTTCAAACAGTTACATACTTTGCATAAAGATTTTTTCAACCCAAAATAAGTTAACAAATGTATTGATATTCATTTGCATAAGGTCGATTTCTATCCGAAGCAGCTCATATAATAAAGCCCTGAGACCATCTCTGTCATGAGAGTTAGGGAGATGGCTATTCTTGGCAACAACTCTCTGACCAAGACTTACATGATATAATAAAGCCCTGAGACCATCTCCGTCATGAGAGTTGGGGAGATGGCTATTCTTGGCAACAACTCTCTGACCAAAACTTACATGATATAATAAAGCCCTGAGACCATCTCTGTCATGAGAGTTAGGGAGACGGCTATTCTTGGCAATAACTCTCTGACCAAGACTTACATGATATAATAAAGCCCTGAGACCATCTCCGTCATGAGAGTTGGGGAGATGGATATTCTTGGCAACAACTCTCTGATCAAGACTTACATGATATAATAAAGCCCTGAGATCATCTTTGTCATGAGAGTTGGGGAGATGGCTATTCTTGGTAACAACTCTCTGAAAAAGACTTACATGATATAATAAAGCCCTGAGACCATCTCTGTCATAAGAGTCGGGGAGATGGCTATTCTTGGCAACATTTCTCCCACATGACTTTTCCGTTTACTTTGAGGAGGCGAGTCTGGTAGATGGAAACTGGCTGAAGGTTTAACCGAACATGATATGTCTGATAAATCATCAAATCCTGTCGTAGCTAGTCTGTAATAAAAAATAAAATGTTCAATCCTTGATACATATCTTTTTTTACAATATTTGAAACCTACAAAAAACCCTGTCATGGCTTGTGTAAAAAGTTAAACTAAAGCTGTATTTATCTAGTCCTTGGCACACAGAAAGGACGTTTAGATGTAGTCAACTTGTGTTAAAGTAAAGAATTATTATCTTACACTCCTATTTCAACATTTCTGTGGTAACTGAACAGACTACCAATGCTTCGTGTTGAAGGCCGTACTTTGACCTATAATGGTTTACTTTTTACACATTGTGACATAGATGGAGAGTTGTCTCATTGGCACTCATACCACATCTTCTTATTTCTACAGACATCACTCAGAAAGTATGATCACCTATTAATGGCTTTGTGTTTGAGAAATTGTTTTTTCTGTGTTTTGTGGACTTATTTTTCATCCTTTTTCTTACAAACATGTTTTTCTTTGACTTGGTTATTGATTACTCCCTTGGTATAGTCAAACCCTTAGTATGAAAGTCATTGATTCAAATGTTCAATTGTTAGTGTTTACTGGGAAGCTTAATGGCTGTTGATTGAGGCAAATCAATGAAAAATATAAGGTATTGAAATTCATAATTTTAAAACATGAAAAGAGGTTGGAAGGGACAGATATATATCTTTACCTGGAGCATGCCTTACAATACATCTGATGTGAGAGTTCTGACAGGTCACTAATACAGGAATTATAACATTGTAACAGATAAGACAGGATAGATTGTCTGAAAAATTGAAAAAAAAATCATCTTATTATAAAAATCTGACATAGAATGGACAGTTAGTTAATACATTGTGAATTCAATGTTTTCTCTATTTTCAACAAAGTTTTCTTTTTACTGATTCTAAAAAATGGCAATTAACTTAGCAGTTGTCATAGTAGCATAGCATATTAAACATATTTTTGGAATGATTTTGCTTCACATTCATATTAAATATTTATAACTTCACAATCATCATTTATTCTAGAATACATTTTTGTTTTAAACACAGACATATAAAGAAGGAAATTCCAATATGGGAGATAACTCAATGTTATTATAATAATGACATAATATAATGACAATGTGTTACCTATTCTGACCATTGATGGCTTCATACTGAGGGTAAGGTCCACTTCTCCAAATCTCTGGCTCTGTGTGGTCATATCTGGATAGAGCACTTTCTGACAGGGATAAACTGCTGAGAGCTGAAGGCTACAACATGCAAAATACACAGTTCATATATCAATCCTATAAAACTACTATTTTCAACAGACTTATAGTCACTTCGGTTATTTTAACTGTCTTTTACTAGTCCTTTAGTCCTGTGATATTTTCAATGCTCTTATATCAGCCATTAGGGTCTGTGTTATTTTTCAAATCTTTTATTTTGTTCATAGGGTCTTGTTTTATTTTTTCAACCATATTATTTAAGTCCCGTGAGTCGTGTGATATTTTCAATGTGCTTATATAATTCCATTTGGTCTTGTTCATGTGTTACTTGTATTTTGACTACCTTAAATTAATTACTAGACTCCTGTGCTATTTTTGACGGTCTGAAACTAGGCCCTTGTGTACTGTACATTTTTAACTGTTTTTGAATTAGTCCCTTGGATCATGTGTTATTTTGAAGTGTTTAATTCTACGTTATTTGGATCATTTTTTGATATTGTCAAATTTTTATTGTTTAGTTATAGTGTATAAGCAGATCAGTTATTCTTTTACTGTAATGGGATAAATATAACAAGCATTCTCAGAGTATTGCATAGCAATACATAGTCCCCTACTGGTTAAGAATTCACTGTACTGGAACAAAATGCTAACTTGATCTATCACTTGTCAAGGTGTAAACTATATAACAAATATCAAGTCAAAATCTTCAAGCGTGACGAAAAAAAGTGTGGAAAACTGATTATTTGAGTGAATTTTCTAAGTCCAAGGACCATAACTCTGCACAAAATTATCAGACCGCAACACAATTCAAACTTGATCTGTAACTTGTCATAATAAAACTATATACCAATTATTAAATCAATATCTTCAAGCATGAAGAAAAAAAGTGTGGAAAACCGATTTGCCAGACTGACAGATGGACAGACAGACAGACAGACAGACAGAAAGACAGACAGACAGACGGAGTGCAAACCTAAAGTCCCCTTCGACTTCGTTGGTAGGGGACTAATAAATCCATTGGTTTAAAGCCCTATTCCCTGGTAAGATTTGACCATGTGATGGGATAAACCTTGTATTACAATAACCTTATAAAACCATTGATTTAAAGCCTTTTCCCTGGTAAGATTTGACCATGTGATGGGATAAACCTTGTATTACAATAATCTTATAAAACCATTGGTTTAAAGTCCTATTCCCTGGTAAGATTTGACCATGGGATGGGATCAACCTTGTATTACATTAACCTTATAAAACCATTGGTTTAAAGCCCTTTTTCCCTGGTAAGATTTTACCATGGGATGGGATAAACCTAGTATTACAATAACCTTATTAAACCATTGGTTTAAAGCCCTTTTCCCTGGTAAGATTTGACCATGGGATGGGATAATCCTTGTATTACAATAATCTTATAAAACTATTGGTTTAAAGCCCTTTTCCCTGGTAAGATTTGACCATGTGATGGGAATAAACATGTATAGATTTGATTGATTGATTGTTGGTGTTCAATACCACTATCAGCACACTTGGCTGCATCATGACGGCCAGATTTTATTGGTTGAAGAATCCCAAGTCCCTGAAGAAAACCCCAGACTTTTAACCTGAAAACTAGCAAGCCTAGTCAACTACAATTGGAGTTGTACGACCTTGCAACAAGCAGAGTCAAGACTTACAACTTATGTGTGTTGAAGCATGTAGATTGAATTATTTGTTCTGTTACAGAAGATATATAACAAAGTTTTCAGGTAAAGAAAACCTATATGTAGTAAAATTTTAAACAAAAGACATGCCACAAATACCATACCTCATGATAAACTGACGGCTGACCAAAGGAAGGAATACGGAATGTCTTTATCTTTGGTTTTCCATCACTACTAACAATATCCTGTAAAGATAAAAATACAAATCCTATTTATAAAATATTTCAGAAAACAAAAATACAAGAATATACTAATAAAAAAGTAACATCAGGTACAAAATTAAAAATCCTCAGGAACAAAAATTAAAAAAGCATGCTTATAATAAACCTCAGGAATAAAAATAAACAATTTACTTTTAAATGCTTCTTCAATGTTAAAAATCAAACTTAAAAAATACCACTTGAATGTTAAAATAAAAATTGTAATTATAAAATACCTCATGAAAATATATACATACATACATAGATGTATCAGACTTATAAAATACAGCAGTTTTAAAATTAAATATACTAAAACACTCTAAATCCTAATTTGAAAAACCTCAGTCATAAAAATAATATTATAAATATAAAATACTTAAAATTAATCATAAAAATAAAAAATGTACACATTAAATACATCTGTCTTAAAATAAAAATCGTACAAGTATAAATCAAAATAAATGAGGATAGTGTCCACATGTGGACATAGATGATGCCCCTGCTTGCATATCATATAGTTATAAAGGGACATAACTGAAGAACGGTAAAAGTGACGCTACCCAAATTTGAACTTGATCTGAGTTTTGTGGTAATAAGCATTGTGTGTAAGTCTCATAACATTTGGTTGAGGCTAACTTAAGTAGAGAACAGAAACTAAATATTCAGCAATTTTTCTATTGTAAACACGCATAACTCTAGAACGGTTGTGTATAAGTTTTATAACATTTGGTTGAGACAAACTAAAGTTAGAGAACGGAAACGAAAAATTCAGCAATTTTTATGTATATAAAGGGACATAACTCAAGAATGGTAAAAGTGTCGCCACCAAATTCTGTACTTAAATCTGTATTATGTAGTAATAAGCATTGTGTATAAGTTTCATAACATTTGGTTGAGGCAAACTAAAGTTAGAAAACGGAAACAAAAAATTTGTACTTGATATTAGTTTTGTGGTAATGAATATTGTGTATAGGTTTCATAATGTTTGGTTGGGGCAAACTTAAGTTACAGAATGGAAACTAAAAATTTTGCAATCTTTCGATTTATAAAGGGGCATATAACTCAATAATGGTTAAAGTGACACTACCCAAATTCAACTTGATCTGTGTTTTATCAGTGGAAGTCAAAATTAAACATTGCATTGTATAAAGCATTGATTGTAGTTGATTCAATTATAATCATGGACAAAGGAAGATAACTCCAATTTAAAAAAATACTTGATATTTAGAAGAAAATAAAAATTTTGCAATTTTTCCATTTATAAAGGGGTATAACTCTAGAATGGTTAGAGTGACGTCACCAAAATTCAAACTTGATCTGTGTTTTGTGGTAATAAGCATTGTGTATAAGTTTAATAACATTTGGTTGAGACAAACTTAAGTTAGAGAACAGAAACTAAATATTTTGCAAATTTTCCATTTATAAAGGGGCATAACTCTAGAACAGTTAAGTAGACGCCACCAAAATTCAAACTTGATCTGTGTTTTGTGGTAATAAACATTGTGTATAAGTTTCATAACATTTGGTTGAGGCAAAAATAATTGAGAGAACGGAAACTAAAAGTTTTGCAATTTTTCCATTTATAAAGGGGCATAACTCTAGAACGGTTAAAGTGATGCCACCAAAATTCAAAATTAATCTGAGTTTTGTGGTAATAAGCATTGTGTATAAGTTTCATAACATTTGGTTGAGGAAAACTCAAGTTAGAGAATTTTGGGACGTACGTTCAGACGGACAAGGGTAAAACTTAATGCCCCCACCGCTACGGTGGGGGCATAAAAAAAAATTATTTATAAAATTACTCAGAAATAGAATTTAAAATAGAACTTATAACATATCTGAGAAAATATAAGGACAAATTTTACATAAAAATACCTCAGAGATAAAATTAAAATATCTTTGTTATACAAAACCTCAGGATTAAGTATAAAAATTGTACTAATATTAATATGTCAGTAAGTTTTATCAATACAATACTTCATCTCTGGCAACCAGAAACTAGTTACAATATATATCTATTCAGTAGTCCATAATCTGTGAGTATCCATTATAAATCTTAAATCATAGTCAAATCTATCTATTATAAATCTTAGTCAAACCTGTCTATTATAAATCTTAGTCAAACCTGTCTATTAAAAATCTTAAATCTTAGTCAAATCTATCTATTATAAATCTTAGTCAAACCTGTCTATTATAAATCTTAAATCTTAGTCAAACTTATCTATTATAACTCTTAAATCTTAGTCAAACTTATCTATTATAACTCTTAAATCTTAGTCAAATCTATCTATTATAAATCTTAGTCAAACCTGTGTATTAAAAATTTTAAATCTTAGTCAAACTTATCTATTATAACTCTTAAATCTTAGTCAAACTTATCTATAATAAATCGTAAATCTTAGTCAAACCTACGGAATCTATAATAAATCTAAGTCAAACCTATCCGTATTATGAATTTGAAATCTTCACCATTGGGTATTGCATATCTAGATGAATTTAATGTAAATAAAATGAAAAACAACCTGCTCTTGACTAAGTAACACATTTATTTGTCTTTCATAGGAAAATTGTGATCATTATTTTTTCTTTGCACATATTTTTTTTCACTTTACCACTGTCTTAAGATTTGTTATTTTATTTCCAGTTCTAATAAAAACTGGATTCTAACTTCCCTAATTCAACCTACTAACCGATATTTTATTTCATAAAAAGTAAAACCAGCCGACACAGATCTCATCTTCAACTCTGATCAAATAATAAAAATACAATACAATGAAGCTGTATATTAATTACTGAAAACAATCAATTGTTTAATATCACTCACAATCTATTTTTACATCAAGTTTATCATCCCATCTTTTTAAGGAATGACTGTAATATTTTTTCTGTCGATGAAGAAATAACATCAAAAATGTGGTGCACACTGAATAACCCGCATAGCGGGTTATTTTAAAGTGTGCACCACATTTTTTATGTTATTTCGAATAGACAGAAAAAATATTACAGTCATTTCTTATAATTTAATTCTAAATTCCATTTTAAACCGGAGTAAACCATGAAAAAACGTTGATGACGTCACGGTCACATGACAAAATTATGTCTATGAGCTGATAAACAAAACAACGTCAGCCAATCAGCAGACGCGTTACATCCAAAATTAAATTATTTTTACATCAAGTTTATCATCCCATCTTTTGAGGAATAAAACAAAGATTTGTGGAAAGATAATTGTCAGATTGAATTTAACAAAAATCTGGGAAAAATGAAGTTAAATGTACATGTCTTTTGATTGAGTTAAGCCATTTTAATTGATATTTTATAGTGTGTCTTTCTATGTTGTGATGTTACACTACTGTTTCAGATAAGGGTGAAGGTTTGGTACCATTAAAACGTTTAAACCCGCTGCAATTGTTTGCACCTGTCCTAAGTCAGGAATCTGATGTTCAGTAGTTGTCGTTTGTTGATGTGGTTCATAAGTGTTTCTCGTTTCTCGTTTTTTATATAGATTAATTAGACCGTTGTTTTTCTCGTTTGAGTGGTTTTACACTAGTAATTTTTGGGGCCCTTTATAGCTTGCTGTTCGGTGTGAGCCAAGGCTTTGTGTTGAAGACCGTACTTTGACCTAAAATGGTTTACTTTTATAAATTTTGACTTGGATGTAGAGTTCTCTCATTGGCACTCATACCACATCTTCTTATATCTATGTACACAGAATCCAAAGGTGACTGTCAGCATAAACCATAAACCAAAGGTTCCTAAGGTGACTGTCAGCATAAACCAAAGGTTCCTAAGATGACTGTCAGCATAAACCAAAGGTTCCTTAAGGTGACTGTCAGCATAAACCAAAGGTTCCTTAAGTTGACTGTCAGCATAAACCAAAGGTTCCTAAGGTGACTGTCAGCATAAACCAAAGGTTCCTTAACTTTTTCGTCTTAAAGTAGCTGGGGTGTCTAGATGATAGATTTTTCTTAAACTTCTGTAAAACATTTCTGGGTCAATGTGCATGATGTGGTTTCAAATTTCATTATAAAACTGGGGGTTGTGAACTTTTTTTTTTGTTTTTTTGGTTAAAATAAATTGAAATTAACAAAATCACAGTTATCTTACATTGATTTATATAGGGGAAACTTTTTTCTTATTGAGGATACATTGAACGATAGAATTGTTAAAATTCAATACGGTTATTGCTTTTCATAAATATTCTCGAAAATTCAAATAATATAGACTGTCAAAGGCCTAATATTTCTTTAAAATCCTCTAAAACACAAATTGTCCTTATTTCAATATAATTATCTGCCCTTGATTTTAAAAGGATTTTTTCTGAAAATTAAAAAATAGAATTAACAGCACTTAACTTTTTTGATAGTTTAATCTTCAAATTTCAAGTTTTCAATGTTTCTGTTGTTTATTGAATGGTACTTGGTAAAATATTATTAAACCAAAAAAGTATTTTTGCAACATGCCAAGAAGGAATGCTCAGAAAAGACACCCAATCTACCTTAAATAACAACGCAAAAGAGTTTATTCGATATAGAAACCAGACTGCCCATAAACCTTGCATGTTTGTTGGAGCCATTTTTAGAGTTTTTCTTTATTTAACAGACATTTTCATCTAGGAAAAGCTGTCTTTAGCATTTTTAAACAGACTTTTCAGCTAGGAAGAGCTGTCTTTAGAGGGTTTTTTTCTTTCTATATCAAACAGACATTTTGTTGCTAAAGAGAGTTGTCTTTCAACTTTTCTTTTCTTTCATGTCAATTAGTTATTTTTCCAGTTTATTTCAGACCCATCACCACCTGATTCCGAGATGTTTCTCTATTTTCACAGGTGATTTATTGAGCAAGTCTACATAATCCTATAATTCTTAATTACCGTCAGAGAAAGATGACTTTTAATCAATGAACAATGACTTGACTGTGTAATTACTGGATCCACTATAACATCATTAAAAACACAAGTTTACTGGATCCCTGTTCTAAACATAAAT